AGGCGTATAAGGTTCTACTAGAAACTCATTTTCCGGGCTGCGTGTTGCAAACCACGCAGAACTGGGAGGACACAAACTGGACCCCTACTGAACAATCCTGGACCACCGCACAAAGGACGGTGTCTACGGATAAGGTAAAATGGGCAATAGACAGCTTTAAACCATATAAGGCAGCTGGACCGGATGAAATCTTTCCAGCGCTTCTACAATGGGCCAATAAAGCAGTGACAAGAATACTGGTGCCTCTTCTGCGGGCCTGTTTAGCACACAGATATACCCCAAAGCTATGGAGAGAGGTCACGGTGATATTCATCCCAAAACCAGGTAAATCTGACTACAATGATGCAAAATCGTATAGACCTATCAGCCTCTTATCTTTCTTCCTAAAAACTCTAGAGAGATTATGTGATAGAGAGCTTAGAGACAACCAGCTTAAGAACGTACCGTTGCATCCTAACCAGCATGCATATACATCTGGCAAATCGACAGAATCCGCACTTCACTCCGTAGTAAGTACGATAGAGGGAAGTCTCAAAAGGAAAGAAATATGTCTAGGCACTTTCATAGATATTGAAGGAGCTTTTGACAAAACCAGTTTTGATAGCATAGCGAAAGCCCTAGCTGCTCATGGAGTAGAGGACACCATCATTAGGTTTTAGTGTCCTCTACTCCATGAGCAGCTAGGGCTTTCGCTATGCTATCAAAACTGGTTTTGTCAAAAGCTCCTTCAATATCTATGAAAGCTCTCTATCACATAATCTCTCTAGAGTTTTTAGGTAAGCAACATGCTGCGAAACAGGCTAATAACACTGCAAGGCGACAACAAGATCAAAGCAATAGCGACTAAAGGATGCCCACAGGGGGGAGTACTATCGCCACTTCTGTGGAATGTGGTGGTCAACGAATTGATCGCCAACTTAAACAACCGTCGATTCCAAACGATAGGATATGCAGATGACTTAGTAATAACAATCTCAGGCAAATTTGCGAACACACTGTGCGACGTCACAAGAACTGCACTGAAAGTTGTGGAAAAGTGGTGCAACGACTATGGACTAAAGGTAAACCCTGCAAAAACAGAAATGGTAATGTTTACTAACAAAAGGGTACTAGGCGAATACAAACTTCCAAAATTATTTGGCACGACATTGAATCTCTCCAACGAAGTAAAGTACCTAGGTGTCACACTGGATGCCAAACTGAACTGGAGTACACAAATAGACAAATCCATCACAAAAGCCAACATCATCTTCTGGCAATGCCGCAGGATGATCGGTAAGAAATGGGGACTAACTCCACATATCACAAAATGGCTATATGAGACAATTATTAGACCCATCATAAGCTACGGCGCAATTGTATGGTGGACAAAGACTACACAGGCAACAACTATAAACAAACTTAAATGTCTCCAAAGACGTGCCTGCTGTGCAATCACTGGCTGCATAAGAGCAACCCCAACAGCAGCGCTAGAGACGATACTCAACGTAAGACCACTACATCTCTTTATACAACAAGAAGCCATGTGTGCAGCCACACGGCTAAAAATGCTGGGACTATGGAGGGATATTAGTATCCCGCACACTAACATCTTAAAAGACATTAATAAGGAATACCCCTTCTTCATGGCCACCAATGACTTAACTCCCAGGAGGTATGTAGAAATACAAAATACAACTCTACGAAGACACACCAGATCTCTGCCTTCACAAAGAGCTAAGGATCTTTACGGACGGCTCTAAAACTGACATAGGTACTGGTGCTGGTGTCTTCTCGGAGGATCTAAATATCCACATATCCACGGCACTGGGAATCTACAACACAATATTCCAGGCTGAATGCGTGGGTATATTAATGGCTGCTGAGGCAATTATAATCCGGAGAGTAAAAGGTAAAAATATCCGTATTCTCTCTGATAGCGCATCGGTATTACAAGCTTTAAATAACAATATGACATCAGGTCTACTGCACGAATGTCACTGTAAGTTGACAGAGGTATGCATAAGAAATAAACTGACCTTACAATGGATTAAGGGGCACAGCGGGTCAAGAGGAAATGACGCGGCAGACAGCTTGGCCAGAGAAGGGTCAAGCAGAAAGCCCATTGGACCGGAACCCATTATACCCATTCCATTTCGACAGCTGAGAAACTGGGTAAGAGAACGCTGTCACAGACAACACGACGAATACTGGACTCAAACGACTGACTGCAGGCAAGCCAAAGAAGCAATCCCCAAGGTAGACCTGCAACTGGCACGTAAGTTAATCAAACTACCTAGACAAACGTTGAGACTAATAGTAGGTATACTAACTGGTCATGGCTATTTTAACAAACACTTATATAACATGGGTATCTCTGACAGTTCTCTGTGCAGGGCATGCCTGGACGCTGAAGAGACAAGCGCTCACGTACTACTGGAATGCAGGGGCGTTTCAGGACATAGGACTACACATCTGGGTAGCCCACAGACATTAAAGGAGGCTTGCGGCAAAGTTAAAGGACTCATGGGCTTCCTGGAGGAGCTGGGGTGGCAGGACTGATGCAACCCCATCATTCACGCAAAATAGGCACAAGGTGTCGAGTTGCGGAAAAGCCCGCCGCACAACATAACATAACATAGTACTAGGTTCTCATGTTAAAAATTTACAGTTTGCTGATGATCTTGTAGTTTATGCATCTGGGAAAAAATTAACAGAAATTACCAACAATGTAAATAAATCTTTAGAAGGTCTTTATAATTATTTTTCTTATTTAAATCTTGATATCAATGCCCACAAATCAAACTTAGTTATATTTGGAAAAATTCATAGCTCAGCCTCCATTGTATATTTTAACAAAATCCCTATCCCCATTTCTTGTGAAGCAAAGTTTTTAGGAATATCATTTACTTACAATGTGTCATGGAACAAATATGTTGAAATTATAAGTTCAAGGGCTAACAAAGCACTTAATGTTTTAAAATCATTATGCAGATCATCCTGGGGAGCTGATCCCAAAACATTATTAATACTTTATAAGTCTCTCATTCGCAGTCATTTTGAATATGGGTTTCTCTGCTTTTCTGGTGATAATAGACTGGTGGATAAACTAGAAAAAATCCAAAATAAAAGTATGAGAATTATAACAGGAGCATTTAAAAGCACACCTATAAATTCATTACAGGTTGAATGTGGATTATCCATTAACTATCTCCATTAAATATAAGATTTTCCTACTTGAAAGAAAAGTTTATTTTAAAACTTTACACAAAAAAAAAATAATCACCTTTTTTTAAACTTGGTCAATTCACATATTTCAACAGAGAATCTTTACATTCTTCAGAATTTTTCCCAATTTTTAAATTATATTAATGGCTTGCAAATACATCAGTCAGAATTGCTACCTTGTTATCAGGGACAATTTGAGAGTAAATTCCCAGCAATAAATATTTTTATTGATCATAAATTATCTTGTAAGCAAGATGTTTATAATACATTTTCTGAGTTTTCTGGTCATCGGTTCTTATATACAGATGGTTCAAAAACAGAATCAGCAGTCTCTTTTGCAATTTTTGATGAGCAATTGAAGTTAGGTACAGGTTACAAAATTAATTCCAACACAAGCATATTTACAGCCGAGGCTCTGGCTATTCTTGCAGGTCTAAAACATATTAAATATAAAAATAATGGATGTCATAAGTGGGTAATAGTTAGTGACAGCTTGAGTGTTTTAGAAAATCTTAGAAACAATAAGTTCAATGCTAACACAAACTATCTTATATTTTCGATTAAACAACTTTGGTTAGATTTGAACATTATGGATAATATTCAAGTATCATTTGTTTGAGTTCCTTCACACATTGGTGTGGTAGGAAATGAAAAAGTTGATTTTTTGGCAAGGTTTATAACCAATTCTTCAATAATCCCTGATTCCAGCAATAGCCTTAATATAACTGTTCCAAATAATGACATAATTTTTCTTTTAAAAAAATAGATCCACTAATTTGTGGAAAAAACATTGGAATTTTAAAGTCCAAATAGAAAACAAAGGTTTATGGTATGCTTCTTTTAACGTTCCTGTAAATTCTACACCTTGGTTCTGCAAAAGTAACACTTACTTTAACAGGAAATTTTATACAACTATCCTGAGGCTTCGTTTCGGTCACTGTAGTCTAAAATACCATCTTTATCGTCTAAATATAGTACAAAGTCCCTTTTGCGATCGTTGTGACACTCAAACAGAGCAGTCTTTGGACCACATATTCTTTGAATGCCCATCCTTTGGCATTCAGCGCCTTGTGCTAATGGATGAGCTGATTGAGATTTATAAAAGTCCGGAACGGGTACCGCGCTCTACTTCAAATCTGCTCGTAAATACCTCCACATTTCTACCTTTGTTTAAATTTGTAGATAGCACAATTGGGCAAATATAGGTGTACATAGCTAAGGGTAATTTTTACGTGTCTTTGTTGTATTTAGTCACTTTTTTCTTCTTTTTTATCCTATTTCGATTTTTTTTGAGAATGAAGTCTCGAATGCATAGGTATTATTTGGTTGATGTCAATATGAAACGGGAAGTAACTTTTGTTTGTTGATGTTGTAAGTCAAAGAATAATTCAATGGGTCTTTGAAATTTTTTGAAACGTATTTTTATTGTAATTTTGTTTTTATACTGAAGAAGTTTAATATCATTTTTATAAACTGAAGTTTTAACGCCATTTCTCAATACTAAGAAATACAATTCAACCAATGACGAGGCAGTATGGTCTATGATCTTAGCCTGTTCCGAAAGGAACGAATAATTGAAAAAAAAAAAAAACATAAACCAAGTAGAAGTGCATGTTTTGTTCAAAACAAAGAGAATTAAAATACTTTTTTTTTGTAAAGGTCAAAAATATTACAGTTGTTGTATGTGTTCAATTTTGTCAAAACCTATATTTTGAATTTTTAGGGGTGACGCCTTATATTAGGGTAACACGTATTATTATATAACCATATTGACGAGATATATATATCTATCGAAAATTACAAATATAATTTAATGCTATATCGGCTAAGGCAGGCTCTCTTACATCATCTACCAGATAAACCAGCAATTATGATGGAACCTGTAGAACCTAACAAAGAAGATTGTTGTAATAGTGGCTGTAATCCATGTATTTTTGATGTGTATGAAAAACAATTGTTGTTGTATAAAAGATTTTTAAGAGGTGATAAAATCGTCAAACCTGTTCGAAACGCGATATCTCAACTTTCATATGCAAAATTTTCATTGACAAAGAGTGTTAAAGTGAGCAATGTTCATAAGCTTTTATTATTTCAACAAACACTGTTGGACAATAATTCTGAAGTACATTGGAATCCAGGAGATCACTTCTTGCTTAAATACACTGATGATTTTAATAATTGCAGTCGTGCCTTTAGTCCTTTAAAGCCATCATTGTGCTGTGATGATAAACATGAAATGGAGAATAATGATTTTGCAATTATAGTAAAAAAATATGATAATGGCATAGTTTCTAACTACTTATATAATTTAATACCAAACGATATTACTTTATGGCGTGGACCTTATGGTTCATTTGAAATAAATTTAACTCTCAATTGTATTATAATGATAGCTCAGGGAACAGGTATACTTCCTTTCATATCTATTATAGATAAGTACCTAGACAATGAAGATAATTTAACTAAAATAATATTATATTATTGTTGCAAAAACTATGATGAAATTTTATTTAGGGATAAGTTGTATGCTTACAAATGTTACTGGAATTTCACATACAAAATTTTTTTAAATCATCATTCTCCTGATGATAAACCAAAATATTTGGAGCCAATATTTAATCATAAATTAAGATCTACAAATTTGTCTGAATTGTTACCTTTGTCAGGTAATGATCAATTTTTAATAAGTGGCTCTACCTTGTTTATGAGTGAATATCAACAGAGTATTAAAACTCTTTGTCCTGTTGTAAATATAAAACTGTTTTGATTTCCTATGATTAAAATGTTAAAAATATATACGTACTAAAATTAACTCTTGAAATTTGTTTTATGAACGTAAAAAAAAATATATAATATCAAAATAAAATGTTAACATATGTTTTCCTTTTCACCAATACTGTATGTATATTAAATATAACTTATTATATAACAGATCACGTGTGATAATGAATAAAAAAAAATGAATTTTTAGTTCATATAGATCAATGAGACCCAGATATCAAAGAACGGCGGTTCCTCCAAGAAGAAAGTAAGTGACGCCCAGTTAATATGTCACAGCTGTATCCATTATACTTGTACTTACACACATTTCGAGTTTTGGAGAATAATAGTGTTATATATTTATATTCATTGTGATTTTTGTGAGGCGAGATAGTGGGCGGGCGCATAAATATTTAATCTCTCACAACTCGGTCAGAATTCCGAACTACTGTAGGTAATTTTGTTTTTTTCATTTCTTGCACTTCTTATCAAGATAGTTTAAATAATTGTTTTGTTTTTTACTCTCCAGTATAAATAATTGAAATATTGTTTTGTTGTTGACAATTGACTTTGACAGACACTGTCTATATTATATGGTTATTATTACTGTGAAGCAAAGGAATCTGACTCATACTGCCATGTCAAAATAATTATTAACCATACCTAAGTAAATACATATTGCTTCCGCTTTTATTTTTATTTTTATTATTACTATTTTTTTTCTGCGCCCAGTCTCGCTTGATAGTTATCTTGTGATGTTTGTAATTCAATCTTGCTTCACTAATGTTAGCTTACTAGTGTATTAAACAAATTTATATGTTAGGGTGACTACCTGTGGGTAATGGAAATGTATGCCATTTGAGTTAATTGTCTTTATTTTTTAGTTATAAGTATATATTTTAACTGAACTATATTATGAATATCTCCATAAATTCCGAGTTATTTCTTTCTTGTTCTTCTCAATCCAGTTTTGAGGATAGTTTGCTTAGTAATGAGTCAGTCTCCTTAGATATACTACTACATGATACTTTTTCTAATATCCCTAAAAACTTAAACATCGTTCACATCAATGCGCAAAGCATCCCCGCGCATTATACTGAGTTGCTCACATATTTAGATCACACTAATATACATGCGATCTTAGTCTCTGAGACTTGGCTACATCCGTCTGTTCCTTCTTCTTGTTACTCGTTTCCGGGATTTCATCTCATCCGCAGTGATCGTGGTAGCTCTTCTCATGGAGGGGTAGCCATTTATCTCCGCACATACTTTTCTTTTTCGATTCTAAGTCAATCGTCACAGCCTCCACCACAAGATGCTACAGAACATCTCATTATTGAGATTAATCTAAATCATAATAAAGTCCTTCTTGGTGTTGTCTACTGCCCCTCTTCCAAAATCGATTTCTTTCACTCTTTTGAGCTTCTTCTTGAAGATCTGATCCCTAATTATGATCATTCCATCATCATGGGCGACTTCAACACCTGTCTGCTAAAAAATGATTCCCGAAGTGTAAGGTTATGTAATGTAGTTAATTCATGCAATATGCATATTCTTCCTCTTTCGGCGACGCATAAATTTCCAAACTGTACTCCCTCTCTGCTTGACCTTATCATGGTGTCATCGCCGGGTCATGTTGTAAAATATGGTCAATTAACAGCCGACCAGTTTTCTTACCATGATTTGATTTATCTGTCCTATCGAATACGTCCTCCTAAACGCAAAGCGTCGATTCAACTGTTGCGTAACTTCTATGGTATGGATATTGACCGCCTCCGAGAAGATGCTCTTAAAGTCGATTGGTCGGCAATTGATAGACTTGAGACGATTAACGAACAGGTGGAGTTATTTAACTCGTTGCTTATCCATCTCATGGATAATCATGCTCCCGTTCGACCTGTACGTGTTAAGCATGTTCCTGCTCCTTGGCTTACAGAGGAGGTACGCAAGATAATTGACAGAAAGGTACGTGCCAAATCTAAATTAAAAAAAAACCCGTCAGATGCAAATCGCGATCGTTATAGGGAAATCAGAAATCACTGCAATACATTGATAAGGGATAAACAAAGACGCCATATTCATGCTTCCGTTGAAAACGGTGATCCCGCCAAAGTTTGGCGATTTCTAAATAAGCTTGGTATTGGAAAAAATAAATGTAATCCCACTCTACCACCAAATACTAATATTAATGCCTTGAATACATTCTTCTCCTCGTCTGCTTCTATGGACGGAAGCATCAAAACTCATACTTTAAATACTCTTTCTTCTATGCCAACACCGTCATTTGCTCCTTTTGTCATTGAACCATTTACCGAGTGTGACATTGAGAAGAATATACTTGCTATATTGTCCAATGCGATCGGTAGCGATTGCATTAGTCGTAATATGATAATTCCTCTTCTAGATATCCTAACTCCTGTAATTACCAACATCCTCAACAAATCTATCTTGACGTCTTTTTACCCCTCTGCATGGAAGGATGCAAATATAGTGCCTGTGCCTAAGAAACCTAAGCCTGATTGCTTTTCCGATTACCGGCCTATATCCATATTGCCTTTCCTTTCCAAAGTCCTTGAAAAGCTAGTTTATCAACAGTTTAGTAAATTCCTTTCCTTGAACAACCTTCTGAATCCATTTCAATCTGGTTTCCGTCCCGGTCATAGTACGACTACTGCACTTGTCAAGATTGCTGATGATATTCGCGCAGGAATGGAAAATCGGCAGCTCACCATACTGACGTTGTTAGATTTCACTAATGCATTCAACACTGTTGATTTCGAAATTTTGCTAGCAACGCTGGTTTCTCTCAATGTATCTCCACAGGTGATTGGTTGGTTTCGTAGTTACCTGTATGGGCGACGGCAACGCATATGTGTAGGAGATATTCTCTCAGATTGGTGCGTTACAACAGCCGGAGTTCCACAGGGTGGCGTTTTGTCTCCGCTTCTATTCTCTATTTTCATTAATTCAATAGCCCTCCCTCTATCTTCTTCCTATCACATGTATGCAGATGATTTCCAAATTTATAGCCAATGTGCGTTGGAAGAAATACCCACTGCAATTACCATTATTAACAATGATCTTGAACATATATCTGATTGGAGTCGGCGTCATGGTCTGTTAGTCAATCCTCTAAAATCTCAAGCGATCATCATTGGAAGTCATTGGTATCAGGCTAGGTTAAATTATGATACACTGCCACCTATCTTAATAAACGGCAATCGTATACCTTTCACTCAGTCTGTAAAAAATCTTGGTGTCATATTTGATTGCAATATGTCTTGGAGCCTTCATGTCCGAGAGGTTAGTAGGAGGGTATTTGGTGCATATAGCTCACTTAAGCGACTTAGGAATCTTTTGCCGACTAAGACTAAAATCACTCTTGCTCAGTCACTTCTTCTCCCTTTGCTTGACTACGCTGATTCATGTTATACAGACCTAAGTGTCGTTTTCCTAAATAAACTTGAGCGACTGCAGAATTTGTGTATCCGTTTTGTCTTTGGTCTACGTAAGTATGATCATATTTCTGATTATCGTACCCAACTTCAGTGGCTACCTATCTCTCGTAGAAGAGACTGTCATATCCTATCACTCCTATATTCCATCCTGTTTCACCCACACACACCGCATTACCTCAAAGAGCGCTTCGTCTTTCACTCTACGAATCTTACCCGAGATCTGCGGTCTTCCTATAATTTATCTTTAGTCATGCCTTCCCACAATACTGATTTCGTAGCCAAGTCATTTACAGTTAAAGCAATCAAACTATGGAACTCTCTGCCTATAGATATCAGACGCGCGCAATCACGGAACTCATTCAATAAATTGATAAAAGAATATTTCCTCAATCTGGACTATTCCTCTTGAACTTCCAATCTATTACTTTACTATCGTAAGTTTTATTTATATATTTGCACTTTATACGTTCTCGTGTGTTGTTTCCCCTATTGCACTAACCCGCAGTTAATTTTTCTTTATTGGTATCATTTCCTTTAGCCTAGGGTCGCCTGGTAGAGATTGCTACCTTAGCAATAAGGCCGCCTTTTGTGTTACTGAATCTAGTTTTATGTACCTTTCTTACTCTATTTCATAGTGCAATAAAGAATATTCAATCAATCAATCAATCAATATAAATTGAATTTATTCATATACATTTATAAAACTATTTTTTTTAATATTTTGCTGGTGTCACAGTAATGAGAAAAATCAGACATGAATAGCAAGTTAACTAATAAGTTGATATGAAAATATTGAAAAAAATCAATGTTAAAATTGTACATACACCCTTCACTTAGGGATGACACAACTTACAAAAAAGTTTTATATTTATCAACAAAGTTGCTTATATCACAAAAAATATCAACCGGTGAGATATTAATATTTCTAATTAGTAGGTTAAAATATAACCATATTATCCATAGCTAGTTATTTCGTTTCTGATCCAATCAAGTACACATTAAACGTGGTTAATCAATAACAAGAGGCAAAAACGCGGCTATTTGGTCTGTGACGTCACTGTGTATAATTAATAACAAAAATATAAATTGATAAAATAATAATTTATTTCAAAAGTCTCATAGGACTCTATTAAATTACTGTTTCAAATAGATAATTTGTTAGATAATGTACTGAGAACAAACAAAAAACGAAGTCGACCCATTAATACTGGCCAAGTGCGACCCAGAAACGCAACGCACACGATCGGCTCGGTACGAAAACGAGCAAAAAAATCACATTTGTTGTATGGGTATGGGAGCTCAATTAAATATTTATTTTATTATATTTTTTAGTATCTTTTGTTATAGTGGCAATAGAAATACATTATCTGTGAAGATTTCAACTGTCTAATGTCTAAAAGCATCTCACTAGATAGCGACTCTAGCAAAATTTCAGTCAATCAATATAAATACGAAAAAGTACAAATAGAATATGAGTTGTTTATTGAGTTTTGAACATTAATTTACTTTTATACATGAAAGAAAACCGGAAGGGTTATCATGGAGAAATCAAGAAAGTACAGTAGCAACATATAGTTTGATTTCGACAAGTAATGTTTTCTTAAATACTTCTTCGTTATCACGCTTCATGAGATCAGCCTGGCGACAGCTAAAAAATCACTTGTTGTATGGGAGTCCCCTTAAATATTTATTTTATTCTGGAAGTCTGGAT